CCTACATTACCCAGAGCAGATGTCTTTTCTGCTTGCAGCAGACATATGCACAATCACATAGAGAAGTCAGACAGCCACTAAAGTAGCCACATAATACTCTGTGAGCTCAATTCTCTGACTTTAGTGCAGCAGAACATGCACCTTGCAGAGGCTGAGGATTTCTGCCCAGTACAGTTTGCATGGTACCAAATCCACAGCATTGTCCTTGCTAGAACATGGAAGAATTGCCCTTTGGTTTCTGAAGAACATGAGAAAAAAGTGAAGTTTTTACTCAAGGACCAATCAAAAGCTAACCAGTACAAACAAAATAATACTCAGATTTGGACACAGACTCCAAATATGTCACCTCCTTTCAAACTACTGAGCACAAACTCTACACTGACAATAACTGTACTCAATGCAATTAAATAGATATGCATAAATGTATCCCTAATCCTGTGTTTCAGTGGTGAAGCTTCTGAAGATATCTACAGCAGAATATGTGCTGCACTAATTGTTCAAGGGTCCTATCAGTTTGGTCAGTGATGCCACATATCTCAGGCTGGGCAGTTTTTAATATCCTAAAGGCAATACTTCCTGTGCTGACAGTCAGTGTCTAGTTTCATCATCTTAAATTAACTGCTGTAGATTTAGATCAGATTATATCTACCATAATACACTTCTGATCAATTATTTTGTGCAATGAAATATCTACCTTGGGCTATTACTATGGATATTCTTTGTGATGGGGTTAAATAGATCCACCAACACAGACACTGATTTTGTAATACAGCTACTTATTCCTCCATTCTCATGGAATTCCCATGCCATGGGAAGAGGGTGCTGATGTGGCAGTCTGAAAAAAAATGGTCTTGGAAACACACTGCAGAGCAATAGGCTGGGGAAGGTCATTGAAATGTAAACAGGATGGACAGGTGCAAAGGAGGGAGACAGAGAGATGCAGTTAATAAGGTGAGTAGAACTGTAGAGTTCACTGTAGACTTCAGGATATAACGCTGTGATGTGAAATATTGCTTAGGATTGTAGACACAATGGCAGGTTGGGCTCTAGGCACAAACCTTCACCACTCCATGAACTCACTTATGGAAAAAGCAGAGCTCAGGTAGTGCCTGATCTCCTGCAGTGTGATATTCTGGCTATGCTAGTGACAAGAATGACACAAGAGCCACAGAGAATACAGTGGAATCACCCAACAACAAACAGGACAGGAAGTTAGAGGGTTTTCTTACCAAAATTATTGGGTTTTATTAAGTAAGGCTTTCATAAAGGAGGGAAAGTAGAAGCAAAAGCTGTTGCTGAGTCTGAGGTTTAACAGCTTTCAGCTAAAGATGCCAGATATGTAATTGCCAAAACACCAATGAGAAATGGTGGGAGGAAGGCAGGGAATGGGGGTGGATCTACATCTTCTGCTAATTTTTTTTTTTAAACAAAAAAAAAAATGGGGGGTGGATCTACATCTTCTGCTAATTTATTTTTTTAAAACAAAAAAAAAAAAAGAATTTTTGTTCAGCTGTTGAATTTTTCCATCAGGAAAATAATATCTGAAAAACCTAGGAACCAATCACATTCCTGGAACACAGGAAAATAAACCAACTTGAAGGATGGGAAAAGCAATTGCCTCAGATGTATCATTTGGAAAAGTTGGAAAGCACAGAGGAATGACACATAGGAGCAACGGTGAAACTGTATAAATAAGCTCAGGGATAATATATAGAGATCATTGGTTTGAAAGTAGCTAACATCAAGAACAGCTGAAGGTATTGTTCCCAGCAGTGGTGGTGGCAGGAATAGTAGAACATGAGGCCATGGTAGTGACATTGCTTTATGGCTGGAAACACAGCAACAAAGAGAGAGAGAACTGGTCTGAAAAGTGACTGATGGTGTGGAAACAGGAATTTGATAAAGTAACAAGACAATTTATTACATTACACCATGGCTTTACGTAGCTGTTACAAGGATGTGGCTGATCTGTTTCTATAAGTAATAACCTTGAAAATCTAAAAGGGCTCAAATTTGCCATTAGAAATGGGAAACTAATGTTCCACTTTTTTGTGATCAAAAATGCACTTTGATATTGCCTGAGGCATTCCATATGAGTGTGTTCATCCTGGATAACTGCTGCCCTTAAAATCTGTGAATGCAACGCTGAAAAGTCAAAAATCTTGGGATTTCATGTTTTACTAGAATATTAGACGAAGTTCATTGACTCGAAGAATGTTCTACATATTCAGTCACCAAGAGTAAGATAAAAATAGAACTCCTAAACTTGCCAGTAAAAGCAAGGAAAGTACAAGAAACTGGAATGGACATGTTCACCATGTATTGGATGTATAATCCCCTGGTCCTGATAAAACAATGAGAAATCCTTGCACAGATCAAACAGCATTAGGGAGAGTGTGTGCACAGCAGAACATTCTGTGTGTTATCTCAAACCACAATGTTTGATGCTCCTTTTATCTGTGTTAACACACCTTCAAGTCACACTGTTCCCAGTACAATGCCCTTGACCAAACCCTTCTTCCTGTTGGCTCCACTTTATCAGTCAGCTGGGGATTTAAGTACATCACAGTGACATCTCCCACTATTAGGTGAAAGTGTGATGGATGACAGGAGCAGCACCTGCAAACAAGGTGGCTCACACCTTGTCAGTGCCAATCACACTTACCATCTGTCTTCCATTTAGCCAGCACACACCTGACAGCCTTCTTTCATATTGTTTCATTTCTTACTACAAAGGAGCCCCTAATGCTTTTTCTCCATTGAGAACTAAATAGTTTCATGGGAAGCAAGGAAAACTCATAGACATTCCATACACTGGGGGACTTGTACCCTGAATCTCCTCATTTCTAAACAAACCACCGACAAAAACAAAGCAAAAACTAAACCTGTATTTCCCACCTATAATCAAGTTAAGTTGATTCCTGCTAATGTTCTTCATCTCCCTAAATTAATGATTTATATTTAAAAAATAGTTTTATATAGCTAAATATCCCAAATGTCTCCATAATGCAGCAGGAACAATAATTTGAAGTACTGGATCAGCAGCCCAGTAGTGCAATCTCAAGCAGTGCAACTGTGGAACACAAAACATGTTCTTGATGTCCATATCAGTCTACTATTTTTTTTCTGTTATAATGGAGGTTTTATAGCTGTGTGATGTGGACATCTCATTCTCTCCCTAGGAAACAGAGAGACCAGATTCACTGTGTCCTTTCCTTAGGCTTGCCTGTGTCCAGATGGTTGACTGAAACCACATAAGGCAACTTCTCTTTCTGTCCTCTGGGATAAAAGCAGAACTTTGGTGTTAAGAAGATAATGTATTGTTGCATCCAGACTAAAGGCTGAGTCCTGGGATGGGCTGAGTGACTTGAGTTTCATTGCCTGCTTTATATGATCGAAAGAAATCCTAGGAAAATAAAGCTTCAGTATCAAGGAGATCCCATTACTGTAGTTTGTAGGAGAGGAACTGGAGGCAAACAGACACCTTTGAGCAGGACAAGTGAAATCAAGCTCCCCAGTCTATGACTGCATGGCTAGAAGTGACCCACTGACACCTGGAAGCACACCTGTCTGCAGTTATACTGGGGTTTGTTAGCACACAGCTTCACATTTATTGGTGATCCAACCACCTGAGACTACTCCTTGCCCAGGCTGGAGTCAGGCTCTGCCATGCATTGACTGCAGCTCTTGGGCACTGCTGCAATGCAATCAACCCAATAATGACAGTCAGCTGCAAAGACCACTCATGTGAGTCATGATTTGCTTGATCTGTCTCAGTTTTCTGACACTTGCTCACTCAATGTGACTTTGATTCTCAGTGCAGAGGATCTTAACTGGAATAATTTTAACAGAAAGAACTATTTTCTTCTTAATATAATCTGCCAGTGCAACAGGAGGTAATAGAGTGCCCTAGAAGTCAATAGTTCTTAAATACTTGTCTCCACACTGCTACTGACAATTTTAGGGCCATTAGCAAGTCACTTAGAAATGCAGGAAAGCTATTTTCCCATCCATAAGATGGAGAAAATTATATT